AAAGACTATACAGTGATATTAGCCTCCTCCCCAGGCTTCTCTCTCTTTTAACAGGGAAGTCTGGGAACGAATACACAATAAAGGTCACCTGCTCGTAGATAAAATGAAGTTATAAATAGAGTTGCCAACAAAGGAGTCTACACTGATAGATACTTGTGAATGATTGTCTAGTTAAGGCTCACTGTAGGTCGTCTCAACATCACTTCGAATCAAAGAAACGGTTACCTTATAAGATGGCGCAGGGAACCGCGAAGGCTCAACATATTTGAAGATATCAATTTTTAAGGTTTGACCAACACATAAGGAGGGTAGGCCAAATCAGCTGTATTAGTGTACAATTGTCTTTTCGATGGATCGCTGCAAAAAGCGCAGTAGCCATTCTGTACCCACCATTCCATACCCTTACAGTTCCCAGTGCACCTTGCCTTGCACTGATCCTTGGTCAAATGGAGCTGTTCTCCATAGCGATAGATATGAGTACACCAATATGGACTGTATTCATTCCAAGAACCTATAAGAAGTGATAATCGTCCTTTCCATCGTCATCATTCAATATATTAAGGGTTGTTTTACTTACTGCGGGCATTGCAACTGTATCCATCACCTTGGTATCCACTGTTACAGCGGCAAGTGTAAGATCCAACAGTATTAGTACACTGTGCATTTGCATGACAAGAATGGATACCGGACGAACATTCATCGGCATCTAATGTATAAGTATAGTTTCAAAAACTCGGTTGTTTTTTTACTGTAATCGGTTGGCATCCTACATTGGTCAATGATCAGGTATCAGACTCATTAATTATGTATGAGTTTTTGAAAAGAAAGAAAAAGTGAAGTTAATTTCTATTCTAAAAAAGGAAAAATCGTATAATTTAAAAAAAATGTTTGGAACTTTGATATTATAAAATTTACAGGGTGAAATTGTATGTAATTGATATTAACTAATAATGTTTGATAAAATGAGATAATAATTATTTACCTGTACACGTGCGTCCATCTCCATTAAAACCTTGGTTACACTGACAATTATATGAACCCGCTGTATTCGTACATTGTGCATTAACATTACACGTATGGGCACCTGTTGAGCATTCATCAACATCTAGAAAAACAAAAAAGCGCATGCTCAGTTAGTGGTGGATCACAAGTCGAAATCATCAATAGTCAATAAATACCTGAGCACGTCAATCCATCACCGTGGAAGCCATGGTTACACTGACAAGTGTGGGAACCAACGTTATTCGTACATTGTGCATTAGCATCACAAGAATGGGAGCCTGTCGTGCACTCGTCGATATCTACGGAAAAAGATTCGCTTTATGAAAAAAAACGTAACGTAATTGTTCTGGGATAATTACACAGAATTACTGCTATGCTCAACCAATCAAAAACTTGTAAACGACGCAGTGCAATTGTCATTGCAGATCACCCCCATGGTTTCCTTCTCAACTCAGATGATCTTTATAGTGCATAAAAACGTTACGTAATTGTTCTCTGATAATTACATGACATCGAACTGCTATGTTCAACCAATCAAAACCTGTAGATCATGTTTCCATGCTCATACCTGAACAAGCCCATCCATCTCCATGATAGCCCGGGTTACATTGACAATTGTAGGTYCCAACTGCATTAGTACATTGTGCGTAGGCATTACAGCTATGGGAACCAGACGAACATTCATCGATATCTAAAAAAGAGGTGGAAACATTTGCTAAGATCGGCTTCGATTGATCAGTCAAGGCCACAATAAATGATTAAATTAGCCACGATAATGGTAATTGTATATCGGCACGGTTCTTYTGGAAGACCTGTTGGATGACTAGTGAAACTATGGATGGAAAACACCGCTGTATCTCACAAAAATTACAAGAAGAAATAATAGCAAACACWGGAAATGATACACTAGTGTCACGAAAGAATGTTGGAAACATATTGTATCTAAATCCATAATATATTAATTATATTTTAGCTATCTAAGAGTAAGAATAACTGACTGGTTGAGCGTCACCKGCCGAGTCCCGGTTCCTACGGTCGCTAAGAAAGAGACACCAGGGGCTGTCAGTTTGCTTGTTTGTTGTCAGTCGCTTTTAGCCATTAATTGTATTATACACCAGCAGAAATTCAATAAAATGACTACCAAGTCAACTTAGTACCTTTTCATGTCATCAAATTGCAGAGAACCGGGTTAAAGACATAGGCAATCACAGCAGCAGTAATGGTGGTACAAATGACACTGAGTAATTGCGCGAAAGAAGTAGCAATGGGTCTTGACAGACAGCCAACCAGTGTTGCACAAGCTGATTTACTAATGAAATACCTGAGCAATTCCTTCCATCGCCTCTGAATCCAAGATGACAGTTACAAGTGTAAGATCCAGGRGTATTAGTACATTGCGCATTGGCATCACAAGTGTGGACAACAGTGGAGCACTCGTTGATATCTTTAAAATAAGGTTTCCGATGAAAGAAAATAAACTAATGGTGTATTAATGTGCAAACTATRAAAAGAGTACCATACCTGAACACGTTTTGCCGTCGCCAAGATAGCCAGAGTTGCACTGACAAGTATGCGAGCCAAATGTATTAGTGCATTTTGCATCAACATGACAAATAGTTTCTATTGAACACTCATCAATATCTGGAAAGCAAATAATCACAGTGTATTTAGTCCCTTAAAAAGGAAAACGAAATGAGAGAGATGAACATTAGAGAAAATAAATTTCTTACTATAATATGAAACAACATCCTTATTGCACCTTCAAAACGTTTACCTCGTTTGCACGTGTACGCGTGGCACGATCCACATGTGACGTCATTCCAATGGTAGTCATGACGCAATCCYAGAGTATGYACACAATCCTGGTCGCCAGGGTAACCGTTGGGCTGATTCTTCGCCCAGTAAGCAAAGTTGAAAGGCGATCCGTCAATCCAGGTAAAGTTYCCTTCACTGTCAATGTCTTGTAGTCCTATCCATCCTGTRTCGCCGCCATGACGATGTTGAATGTACGTGTTTTCTTCTTGGCTGGTTACACTGGTCAGATTGGAGTTRACATCAAGACAGTTGGACTGAGCWGCATTCCAAGAGGCACAGGAAGAGATGGTCTTGTAGCAGAAACCATTGAAATAACTCCAATTGTTGCCACACATTTCTTTCATCAAAAAATATAGTCAGTCTATACATCTTTGATAAAACCTCAGAAAAATGACAATAATAAGCTAGGACGTACATACCTGATACAACCACATACTGTAAGGTGACAGGGTCATAACGGTCCGAGTACAACTCTTTAAGGCAAACGCGGAAGGTATTCRAGGTAATGTCCTAGAGTATAAGAATTAAGCCACGTCATATAGACAATATTACGAACRKCATATCAGAATTTCAGTGTCAAACGTACCTCAATCCATGCAGAAATCCCATTACATTTGGGGTTAACGTTGCCAACACTGGTGTTATGTGTAGCTGTTATCAACACTGAAGGGCGGTTTGTGTAGTTTCGTTTCATGTTAACATCCTGAAATATCATATACATCACAGAATTTTGTCATATGATCAGGAGGAGCCAATTCAACTGGGTCTGTTCTAAATAAATGTTCTTGTATGAATTTTTTCCTGATTTTGAGGAACATTGCTGGCAATCTCACAAGAAAATGTGGCGCCCTTCCTTCTTTAAAATAATTTTGTTCCTGGCAAACGTTTTTATGGTCAAAAAGGGAAATTTCTATTTTCCTGGCAAAAATCCTCAAAAAGTATTCCTTGCCTGGAGAGTTCTTTTTCCTAATTTCTCGCTGGCAACCAGTTGTGACTTACAGCTGGCTCGGACATAAGAACAGAAATATTTCTCCCAGGAACCCGTCGGCTCCTCCTATATGTTTGACAACTCACTAGTATTGTATCATTCAGTTTTAACTGAATTAAAATTTTTTGGTAATAGTAAATTGCTGATATCATGAACCGTAGATTGCATTGTTTTATCAATCGCTTTTTTAAGTTTTGTAGGAACCTAAAATAGTATCCCATGAATTCTACCCTGAAAACTTACCTTACAAAATGCGTATTTGTTCGATTGTAAAGGAGTATGCGTATTTGCAAAGAAAACACTGCCGTGTTCCGAGAAAAGCGGAAGATGGAGCGTTTCAAAAGCCATCCAAWCCTGATAGAAAAAGGTACCATTCATGACTATAAATTTCGCATCTAYTAGGTAAGAAATAAAGTAATAACAGTGTTGGCCAAATCTTCACTATATTAAATTGTAAAATAGAAATAGGGTTAAACTCGTACCAAGTCAATCTCTTCATGAATTCCGTCAAAGTTCTGCAGCTCTCTGATACAAACTTGAAATGAKGAAGAGSTGATGTCYTCGACCCAGACACTGGCAGCATCGTGTTTGAGTCCATCTCTCTGGTGCTCGAGAGTGACTAGTACCGTGGGAGTACCCGTGAATTTACCCTGAAATTAATATCATGATATATCAATGAATAAAAAGAAGTTAATGAGAGGAAGTGGTTTGATATTGAGAGATCAGACAAGTGATGCCTACAATACTGTTAGACCCTGTTTACACTGCGAGATAGGGTGTTCCTAAGTAGTAAGGCAAACTCTTCGACACTCTTTTGTTTTATTCTCCCTCACTGAAAAATCAATCAATTTCAATTTCCATAGTATGTAAAACTCATGGATTTCTCGATTTACTGGAATTTTACACACTATGTAAATTTATTAATTAAAACAGATCGTGGGAAAATCATGTCAATTACGAAACCCTGCAAATGGCTAGCAATCGTGTAAATCTAAATTTACGGTATCTATACATGATTTTTACATGATTTTCCATACTATGGGAATTGATCACTTATTCCAGATAAGATTTGAATCAAAAGAATTAACCTGTACTTAGAGGTACTCTCTTACATTTCATGTAAATTAACCTGTTCTTAGTTTCTCCCCATTTTGGTGTAAGTGTCTCTRGCTAGCTTTAAAGAATAGGTTTCGATATTACCGACGATGTGTATATCTAGTTTGCAAGCTTTCTTTTTCTATTAACCTGTCAATTAACTGTTATCGAGCAACTCCGGACACGTACAAATATTACTTACACTAGGCAAAGATATTGTCGTACATTTGGTACCAGTCCACCATTGTGTAATGCGCTCCTTCCCAGTCACCGCTCCGTTAGGAGAGCCCTGATATGCTATCCAATCAACTGATGCCACGTCATTGCTAGGCTGATCATTTCTTCCGGTTTTAGTCATACACACAGTGAAGTTCTCTGGATTCACCTTTTCTGACCACGTGACTGTTGCGTCATGCACATTAGCCGGAAGTGAMGCATTRATGTAGTTGACAGTTAATTGGACATGGATGGGTTTGTCGGGATAGAATGCGTAGGGCTGGAGAGAGACAACTTCACAATGAGACTCGGCAAATGCTGAAACATGGCTGAGGTGATGTGTTCCTTTGTCGAATGGAAAACCTAATGGAGAAAAATGAATCATGTTGCTCAAAGAAATATATTTTTTGTATGGATTCTTTTTTTACCTTGACAAGCGCCTGGTTTGTAGTACGARTAGTTTGCCCTGGTTTGACAGATTTCTCTTTCCAGAGCGCACATGTTATCRAACGTTCGACCATTRGAAGCACAYACGAGATCTTGGTAAGATGGACACTGGGTAACGCACACACACTGAGCAACACTTGCTGACATGGCTTGACAAACACCAAAATATTCACAGGTCTTGTTGATACATGGATCAAGATCTAACAAGACGAAGAGTATGTCCATATGTAGATATCGAGTTTTATTGATATTATAAAGATAATCAGCATTTCTGAAATAATACCGGAATATCGGAATATCGAGAAATTAGAAAAAAAAAACACGAAGAGAACAAAATATTTTCAATAAAGACATCAACGGAAAGCAAGCAACAGAAAGTCAAAATCTCAGGAAAAATGGAAAAACTGGGAATAACAATACATGCTAAAAACGAGAAACTTTGTGCAATTCTCCTTACCTCCAAAAACCATATAGTCCACCTCGATAGGATGATGCTTGTTCTTCAGCCCAACAAGRTCTTTTACACATGTTTTAAAATTTGTTCGTGTTGTTTCCTGTTACAACACAAGAACAACAACAGCAACAACAACAAAATTTTTAATACACATTACACATTAAGTTACAATTTAAGTGAATAGCAAATGAAGTTGAATAAATAGGAATATAATATAAGGTTTTCTTAATATTGTGCCTAAAGGCTAAGTTCTGTAGAAATGAAAAAGAGTATTGTAGTAGAAATAGATAAAGAATAAGTACGTACTGGTAGAAGTATTGTAAGTATAAAGTTGAATTAAGAATCAATTATTTGCTGGGAAAGTAGATGGCATTTAGCCTGTTTTGAAAACGATTTAGTGTTGCTAATTAATCTAGTAGTCTGGGGAAGTTTTTCCCATATCTTTGCCGCAACAAAAGATATAAATTGTTTACCTAAGTTTGTTTTAGAAGCAGGTATACACAGAGCAAGGCTATCAGATAATCCGGCAATGAAGTCAACGAATTCATTGGAAGAATTGTTTTGTAAATATTTTTTACATTTTTTCTTCCTAGGCCCTTACACTTTAGCAATCTAAAGAAGTGTAGAGTAATGAGCATACACCCAACAAACTTACCTCAATCCAGGCAGCAATGGAGTTGTCTTCAGGACGAATGGCATTGGCATTACTGCTGTCATAGTGATGACTAGGAGCAACAACGATTGTTGGTGGAGCATAATACGGCTCGTGGAAACTCACAATCTGAAATAATAATAGGACAAAAATAGTTGCCTCAAGATGCGTCTTTTAGGCTTTACTTTTAATTGAAATTTAGGCTTTGGTCAAAATTTAAGGTGTCCTCTATCTACCTGGCAAAACGCATTATTATCAGCCTCGCTTGGTACAAGTGTGTTTGGAAAGTCTACTCTTATAAAGTCGTGATAATTCCATGTCTGGGGAGCTTCAGTCATTGCCATCCAAACCTTCAACAGAAGAGAATTGTTAACGAAATCGAAGAAAAGAGTTTACTTCTGCAGTGAAATTTACTGATTATTTTGTGCCTTAAAATCCAATTTGAATTAGGATTTGGTCAAGTTTTCATTCAGTCTCAGGACAAGCGCTGTCGTGGATATTGAGACTTATAACAGAGTTTGCTTTAAGAATATCAAGCATACCACATCGATGTCTTTATGGCGTCCATCAAAGGTTCTTGCTTCTCTCATACAAACAATGAAATCGTTTGTGGTGATTCCTTCCACCCAAACTGTAGCTGCATCATGCTTGTTGTCCAACACATTGTGATGTGCAGTAACGAAGACATGAGGAACACTTGGAAAGGACTAGGGAATAAGGAGAAAAAAGAATTAGTTTGAAGGAAAAAAATTTGGAAAGAAGTAANACAGACTTTAAAACTACTTGTAGTGACAGACTCAACCCACGTGAACACTACGTCATGTACACGTGATGAGCTCGTGCCAAATCCAACTGACRTAAAGACTTTGACAGGATCAACTCCAGTAAAGGTCGTTGGGAAGGTGATAGTATCGCAGTAGTAATTATCAGGGTTTGTCTGGCCGATGCGAAGAGTTCCATGTTGAACTCCTAAAAAATACAAATGTAAATTATAGTAAATTATAGCATTTAGTAGGATTTTTCAATACAAAAGAGTTTAATCTATTCTGTGAAAAAGTACAAAATTTTTTGAAAAAACGATTCTAAGTTAGGAATATTTTTTGTCTGAAGATAACACATTTAAAGGCCTAAATGGTTGTACTTGTTAATTAGAAAAGCAAAAGCCAATCAGTTACCTTTTGCAGAGAATACAGCAGATAAAACCAAGAAAAGAACATGTAATAACTTCATGTTGGCTTGCTCCACTCGTCACGACGACTTGTAGCAACTGAAACAGTACCTCGTAGTAACGCCCTTTCATAGTGACCGTCTAGGCTTTAAACTTACTTGATACAAAAGGGACTTTCTTCAGACTATAGCTCAATGGTTTAATTTAAAACAGTTGTGAGAAGTGGTTAATTGATCAATAATCCTTGATCGAAGATTATATTCTCCTCCCTTTAAAATGTATTTTGTTTAAAAAGTCAAGGAGAAGATGAAAGCATATCATTGCAGCTTTGCCTTAGGTTATGACTAAAATAGCTCAAAAACGAACAGTACATAAAGTCAAGAGATGTCTTTCAAACCTAGAATATAATTTTTCAAACGCTAATTGTGTGTTTGTAGCATTTTGCCTCTTTTCAAAACTTTTGAAGAGTTTAAGGTAGTCTAATGTCAATTTACTGAAAARGTCAACTCGGAAGAAACATCATTTTGGCCTGTAAATTTCACAGTGAAGAACATATATGCTGGTCTTCCTCCTTTAAGAATGCTGGCACTCTAGTGAACGCAAGGTCAATCAGTCACAATAGACAATAGTTTGCAAGGGTAAAGAAATCACAAACTCATCACTTCTTTGCAAGGATTAGAAGTAAGGCACAGTTTCAATATGCACCATCTGTCTTCAAAATGCAATCAATACGCGAAACGGTCGAAGAAAGAATAAATCAATCAATGTGGCTAGCTAGCTTACCTGTCTATTGACAATGATTGAATTGATAAAATGTACTTTAAGTATTTTTTGAATTTAGCTTTGTGGGAAACAACTCAATCTAATAATAGTAACATCTGACAGTACACGACAAAGCTGTGCGCATGCGCCCTGATATGTATAATTGGGTCAAGTATAATTTTCTGTTTGGAGAATAATTTTCAAATTATTGCTTCGTTGACTTCGTAATCTGCATCATTCTTCGTTTTCACTATACGTCAGAGCGTCCATCTTCGAGAAATTTCAACAAAGGATTTCTCATTACCATCTCATGTTTATTCTTCCAGCATGGCCACCGTTCTTTTGGATTTCATGAGAATGGTTGAAAACGAACGATCAATATAGGAATTTTTCTCAAAAAWTCAATGTTTCATCCGCGCAATAGTGCAAAGCTCAGGACATGTCACATCAGTAGTTGGAACAAGATGAATAGGATGAACAATGGAAGAATACGGGGTGGATCCAGGATTTTTCAGAGGGGATGGCTGACATCAAAATTTGATATTAAAGACACTACAATAAATTCTAATAATAAAAATGAATAAATTCTAAATAAAATGACTCTTTAGGCTCATGTGAAATTATCCTTTACCGTTATCTTGGGCACACCTATAATGTTTCGGATATCAACAAACTTTTACATGAAAGATATTTATGTATATATAAACATCAGTTAAATCAAACAGTTCTTCTCACCYTATATTTTTTTCGAAGTAATTATACATTTTCCGTTATACAATAATCCTGTTTTCTAATTTCTTTTTTTCAAAACTTAAAGTCTTTATATATTTTTTCAAATAAAAAAGGGGTTGGCTWGCCACCCAATCCACCCCCCCTCAGAAATCACAATTTCATACGCGTACTGCAACTTAGTGTTAATTATTTAATTTGCATGGTATT